GCTTATTACTATTATTGACTCGAATTAATCATCTCATTTGATTCTCTAACTCCAGCCCGTTTGTTTTCTTTGTTTACCAATTTTTTGAATAATACAAAAGTCAGGACTTTGTACACTTTCTTCTTTCTAAATTGACATGATTGTGTAACTTGTAGTCATACCAAAGTAATAAATACTCTCTCCGTCCCAAAAAAATAGATCAGATTGAGTTTTAAATGTAATATTTTTAGAATAAATTAGAAAATTTAATATAAACTATTTTTGTGGGACGGAAGTAGTACATGGGAGGGAAATAGAGGAAAAGGGAGAGCATACAGGTATAAACAAATACGAATACAAGATGTAATAATTGAGATATAAGCCGAGTAATTGACCTTGCAGAAAACATTATATGAAGAAGAAGACATAAGTATTTTACCTGGAACGACAGTGACACATATAAACTAACTTCCACGAAATCAAAATGTAGCCACAAAGTGTCTCTTCACATTGTTCATATGACCCACTCATTTCTTTTCTTTTCTTTTTCCCTCTTGACATTTTGCAATATATTAATGATATTAGTACGAACTCTTGAACTTGAAATAAATAATTTGATATTTTATGGATGAATTGTGAAAACAACCTACAGCTTTTAATTTTCACCGTTATGACTTTTCAAATCCACCTTCAACTCAAATACTCCCATCGTCCCATAATTATTGTCCAGTTTAAGTTTTCATTTTTAGTTCAAATTGTACTAAAAATGAAATCTCAAACTGGACAATAATTTTGAGATAGAGAGATATCAGCCAATTAAATGACACAAATTTTCATTCACCAGTTTTTTTCCAAAAAAAAAAAGAAAAAGAAAAAAGCTTATTTGGTTAAATTGCATGAAATTTTAGAATAAATTTGTCTATAATTTTACCAAAATTTACATTCCCTTCTTTCCAAGATTATTATCAAGTCTTGGACATAATAAATAATTTATTATTAGATGGTTATAACTAATGCTGAATCGTCAAATTTATTACGAGGCGTGAAATTAATTGGGATCAGAAGTGAATAATAAGTAGATGATATGGTGAATCATTAGGGATTTGCTTCAAAGGGGATGGGAGATGGACCTGATTTATGTCTTTAAAACGTTAAATTTTATTGTTGATTATTGGATCTTTACAGCACTAGTTTGTCTATTGAGTTATAGGAACTGCATGATCAAGTTAGGAGTGAAATATCATATAATTGGTTTTTTCTTCTTTTTTTTTTGTGTCTGCAAATATCTTGACTTAATGTAGTACTCGCTCTGTCCCAAAATTATTGTCCAATTTGAGATTTTACTTTTAATACAATTTGAACTAAAAATGAAAACGCAAACTGAACAATAATTATGGGACGGAGGAAGTATGTATTTAAGTACTGTATCAAACGTTAGCTTTGTTAATTATGCAAAGTTTAAACTTCAAACTTACATTAATCCATACACAGTACTACTCTACAGGTTTTTTTTTTTTTTTTTCTTCGCTACTTCGTCATTGTGTTCATGTTCAAACTTACATTAATCCATACACAGTACTACTCTACAGGTTTTTTTTTTTTTTTTTCTTCGCTACTTCGTCATTGTGTTCATGGATGACTTTTGCCGTTGAAAACCCACAAGTCCTGACTAGTGGTCCAGAAATCAAAAGCCCAGTGATAAAATATTATTTTTCTGTGGTTTGTCATGGCCCTTTTAGCTTTTAGGCTTTTACAAAAATTCTTAAACACACTCATTCGTCCCCTCGGTTCTCATGCTCCAATACTTTATTATAGCACTCTTAACTTTTAAAAAATAACGTAATATTTTAATTTGTTAAAATGAAGTATGTTTTCGGAACGATAGATATATTATTAGTTTTCTAATAAGAAATATGCTACTCTTTCTTTTCGGCACTCTTTCGGATCCTTTCAATGTTTAATTTTTTTTTTTGAAATGTGTAAAAAGATATATTAAAGATGAGTTAAAAAAAAATAGTGTTTAAATAGCTAAAAGAAAACATGACAAAATGAATGAAAGAGAGTTGTGTATATGAAATATAGTTGAAATTATGTTAGATCCATCATTTATAATCTTGTAAAATGGAGATTATACAGAGAGTAGTATTCTAGAAAAAAAATTCTTAAAAAATGATTAAGGGATTAGGATGGAGATGGTTATTACCACGGAGGTTTATGGTCGATTCTCGAGGTCATCTAATTTTTTTCTTTTTAAACTAAATTAGTAAATGTAGGAGTCATGTTTTTTGTAATATCTTTTTTTTAAAACATATATTAGTAGTAAATGCTTATCTCATTGTTTTCCACAAAGCTCTTCCTCTTTGGATTATCAGCGAAATCATTTGTAAGTTGAGATTCAGTTTGTATAAGGCCCAGTTGTTGTACTTGGACTATTAAACCCTTCCAAAAAACAACATGATTAGCCCACTCAAAATAAGTCCAATTGACTTCGGCCATGAAGCTTGCAAAATAATGTAATTATTACTGGAACTTGCGCGGGTTAAAAAAGAGGAAAAAATAATATTTAAATTAAAAAATTGATGATATGTAATTGAAAAAACTTGATATTACGGATTATTTAAGATGGTAAGAAATGTTTTTTCTTTTTTTTTTTTCGTTTCCAATTTCGATGATAAGAAATTAAAGAAAATAAAGGAATGTTCATTTCCTTTTAAGATATGTTCCACTAATTACGTGAGTATTAATGAAACTATTATGGGTTTTCAATTTTCAATATTAAAGGGGTAAAATATGTTTACAATAGTTTAAATAATAAACATAATTAAAATTAAACATTTACATTAAAAAAGATTGATTACAATCAACTACATGACATATATTTGACTCTTTTAATCCACATTTAATAATGGGACATTTGTCCCAAATCTATTCTCTTTTAATATATAATAATAATATAATATGAGATCCTAATGTTGGCATTCAATAAGAAATCTATTTTTCCTGAAATATGAAGAGTCTGGAAAATGATGTTGTCATAAATGCATGCTTTTTCTATCTAATTTTACTAATTTATGGTGGAAAAACAAAGAAGAAGGGATTCACTATCTTACTTTCATTAGATTTTGTCATTAACTCCATCAAATATTTTTTGCTTCTTTTCTTTTCTTTTTTGTTTTCCCTCCCCCAAAATTCAATACTCTCTCTATTTCCAAAAAAAATAAAAAAAATAAAAACAGTTCACTTTCAAATTTGAGATTTTAAGACAGAAATAGTATGAAAATCACTCAATTTAACTGTATCACTTTTCTCATAAGTACTCCATGCAAAGTATCTCATGGATATATAAGTTGATGATTTCTGACAAGTTTAATTGAATTTATCTTTATTCTAACCCCCCCCCCCAAAAAAAAAAAAACCCCTAAAATAACTCATCAACACCTAAACAGGATATACACTCTACAATACATTCATGATTATGGAGAAGTTATAGGTTTGAGTCACTCATATATTTCTCTCGTCCTTTTTACCCTGTTAAAGTAAAATAGAGGATATTGACGTGGCAACTTTTTATTAAAAATTTTTGGCTCCAAATACACTATATTATATAAACCATTTTACCTTGCGTTATTCTCTTTCTAAAACAAAAAAATAAAAAATAAACTTATTTCTGGATAAAAAAAACTTCTAAAACACACTTCCGGATCACATTAAATTCCTACAAATTAGTGAAAATTAAAATTCAAAGCCCTTAGTCAAATTCCTTCCAAACTGTTGGGCTCTCCCACTTCCACAGAAGGCATCCAAAAAATCGACATATTCAACCATTGGTTCAATTTCCCTTCAAATCTCATAAATAACTATGTCCAAAATTTTACTTCAAATTCATATCAAAAGGTTTCAAATTAAAAATTTTGCTCCCATGTTTCCCGGCGAACAAAAAAAAAACAAAAGTTTTAATGAAATTTATTGTTATTATGATCTTTATTTTTGATTTCTCACAATTTGATTCCTATATTACTTTGATTAGTTTAGAAGATCTTTTTTTATATAATCAATTAAAAGATCCTAAAATTTAGATGATAATTTCAAATAAATATCTTTTCAACCTCATCTAACATTAAATGTACTTATAGATATAATTATTATTTCTATCATTACACATTATAATAAAAAAATATATATAATCACATACGTATTTCACTTAGATTAGAATTTCCTTTTCCATTTACAAAAAAATTACTTATAACGGAAGGGGCCGCCCGGACATCTGCCCGGACCAAGCATCTAGTTTCCTAATTATAAAAACACGCGTTTAAACTAATATTACTATTAATTTGTACTCCCTCTGTCTCAAAATTAATGTCCAGTTTGAGATTTTACTTTTAGTACAATTTGAACTAGAAATGAAAATTCAAACTGGACAATAATCATGGGACGGAAGGAGTATATTATAACTATAAAAACTAGAACTAGAAGGAGTATATGATAGGGAAAACAAATTCGCAGAAACCCTCTACAAATCTGAAATGGGAAACGGCAATGAGTATTGAAAATAACCAGAAAACTGAATTAGAGTTAAGACTTGGTGCTAACATAGTAAAAAATCTGTAACGGAAAACTTGCAATTAGTACTGTAAAATCTTTGATGTAGTTTTTTGACGCTTTTGATTTTGAACTCGTCAGCGCCTCTCCTAGTATAGTCAAACAAAAGTCGTGGGGTTTCGGAAACTGTAAAATCTTTTTCAATTTCTTTCTTACTTACTTTATCCCATATAAAAAAAAATCTGAAACACAGCACAGCGCCATTATCAGAAAATCAGCGACCATCATTCCGTTTGAATCATTCGTTCCTTTCTCTTTAATTTCAAAATTATTCCTCCCATTTTTTTCTTTTCCTCTCAGATTATTTGTCAGATCTACTTCTTCTTCCCTTCTTCGTCTTCACGTATTCAACTGACACTGAAAGAGACATATTTTCTTCTCTGTTTAACGTGGTTAATCTGTAAGCTTGGGTATCATCAATGCCTCCCACAGACTCAGAACTCGATCTCCGAGTAAGTCCATTTCCTTCTCCATTACTGAATCCTGCTGTTAGTTTCTACTACTCTTTTTTTTTTTCCGGTTTTTGTCTTAAAAATGTGGTTTGATTTTGCTTTTCTTTGGAATTTTTTCAGAGGGCATCTATGCAGGCGGGAAGTTTAGGGATCAGGTAAAGTTCGGAAGTGTAGAGGGAAATGATAGCAGATTGGGTGTTTTTTTTGCTTCTTTAACTTTTGATTTTTAATTTTCTCTCTACAATGTGGATGATTTTGAGGGATGAAATTTGGTTGTTTTCAGCGAGGCGTTTGCGGATGTGAACAACCTCGAGCACTGTGCCAAGTACTTGAATCAAACCCTAGTCACGTTCGGGTTTTCGGCCTCCCTTGATCTCTTCGCCAATGACCCTGTACGTCATTTTGCAATTGTGTGTGTGTGTGTGTCTTTGTTTTTTTTTTTCCTTTTAAAGTTGTTGTAGGAATTTACCCTCAATTCATGGGTGCTTGAATGTTCTGTGATCAGGTGTCGATTGCTAGGACTTGCAACTGTGTACACGCATTGTTGCAGCAAAGGCAACGGGATATTGAGTTTAGGGAGTCTGCTAATGAGCAGAGGCAACGGTTGGTTTTCTTTCATCTCCTTCTATTTGTTTTTAGGCTGTGGTTGATTATAAGTGCTTATTTGCTGGTTTTGTTCGACTAGAAAAACCAGTGATCGATAAGGTTCCTCAATTTGGAACTTGTTCTATAATGTGGAAGTTGAGTTCAGGGTTATGAGAATAAGTGAACTGGTTCACCTTCTTACTGTGACAACTGCATCTGTAACTTGTTGGAAGAAAAGGGGGGAAAATGCTCATCTTGATTGCATTGCAAATATTGTAGTGGAGCCCTTTCGTCGTCATTAATTCATTTATGATATTTCTCCTAGAGATGGAATGCGCCAATGCAGTTCTCTACCTGAAAGGGGTAGTTTCTCGCTGGCTTTAATTGTGTTTCTAGAGATACTGTGACTAAGCTTTGACTACATGTTTTCCTGTAGGCTTTTATCAGACATTTCTAGACTAGAAGCTAAAGTGGAGAGGTTGGAGGAACAGATAGCATCCAAGGATAGAGAGATAGCTACTATTACTAGAACGGTAAGAATTTTCTTAAGTAGGATAGTCATTATCTTAGAAGTATTGGTCTAGTTACTCAGAAGATATGGCAAAGTAACAAGCAATATTCTTGGTTAGAATGCCAAAACTGCTGCAGGATTGAAGACGCAAATTGAAAAGTTGCAGCAAGAGCGAGATGAGTTTCAAAGGATGGTTATCGGGAATCAGGTCACTGGAGTTTGCAGCTGTTTTTTTATGTATTACCTTTTATTGCTGCTGGATACCATAAATCTCTTAACTAAAATTTTCTTTTTTCTCTTATGTTAACAGCAAGTTAGAACTCAGCAAATACATGAGATGAAGAAAAAGGAAAAGGAATACATAAAGCTTCAGGTAATACCATAATTTTTTTGTTTTCATTCTCTGAATTTGTGACCAGTGAAGGATTTGTACTGTTGATTCATTAGCATCGTGCAAAATTTATAGTGTCAAAGTGTTTGTACTTTATTCACAGGAAAGGCTGAACCAAGTGCTGATGGAGAAAAAGAAGGAATCTAGATCGGGAATGGAAATTATGAATTTACTTCAGGTAATTGTGGACCCATAGGATCAAAGAGAGTTACATAGAATATGTAATGAATGATTGTCATGATTTATGCCAAGCAGAAAGAAGGCCGGCAGCGTGGTACTTGGAACGGAAAGAAGGCTGATAATGACTTTTATAAAAAGATCGTGAGTACTCCAGTCTAATTAGTTAAGTTCCCTTCTTTACTGATTACCTTAGTTATTTACGCAATATCCTACTTCTAGGTGGATGCCTATGAAGCAAAGAATCAAGAGTTAGTGGCGGAGAATGCTGATCTGAGGGCTCTGTTACGCTCAATGCAGGTAACTGCTAAAATTGAAGCTATTAGTCTTTCTTGTCATCCATAAAATGAGGACATTCTAAAATCTGTGTGATATGGGATTACAAATTCAGGAGTTATAGCATCTTGGGCTATAAATTACATCGGGAGAGTCTGCCTACTGTCTCACTAACTGATGTAGATGTTAGAGTCGTTAAAATCTGTCTTAAGCATATGATTTATAGAAAGATTGCTGAAGAAGGGAAAAGGTTTGTCAAGCTTTTTACTAGAAGGTCTTTTGTAATCAATTCAGTCAAATAGGATGGAAGGTGTTGGTGATTGTTATCTATTATGTGCAAGGTAGTACTCACATGCTTTTATAAGAAGTATTAAGTTAAATTCAGATATCCCTGGGAATCTCTCAAGAGACTGGGTGGTGGTTAGCTTGATAAGCCAGAGTGAGAAACAATTAACTGAGCTCCAGAAATGATATGACATTGATGAGACATTATAGGTGTTTACTGTCTCCTGGCAATTTTTAGATAAAAGTTTGAGTAACTCTGTCAGTATCGATACGCTAAATTTGAACTTGGGGATTGCGATATAATCCTACTGTTCACCATCTAAATGACTCTTCCTTTGAAGTAGGTCTAGAAATTTCATTTGTGTTCATTTTTTGCTATGTAATGTGTGATATTCTTCAACCAGGTGGACATGCGTGATTTCTTCAATGCACCAAATGGTGCATCTAAGCAATCTGGTGTTAATGGAAGGCCAGAAGTTGACCCCTCACAATCTCCATTAGGTGGAAGAACGGTATGGCAGAGTGTTGGTAGTAGTCAAATATGGATAATAAGTCTTCTCATGATATGGGACTTCAAAATTGAGAGTTTGTGATTTCTCAGGATATGTTTGACCTGCCCCTCCACATGGCCAGAGATCAAATAGAAGAAAGTTTACGGAACAAGATGGCCTCCATCAAGGTACAGTTTATAATATGCAGTTTTTAGTGTATTGCTATACAATTGAGAATCCTAGTCTTCAATTTTTGCTCTCAAACTTGAAGGAGCGCATGGTTCAAATTCAAGATGCTCAGCATGGTGCTGAAGTAACGTCTGAAGCAACAGAGAGAGAGCTGGAGCTGGAAGCTCAACTTGTTGAGGCAAGAAGTATAATTCAAGAGCAGGTATTAAGGATCACTGGTTATGCGACACTTAATTACTTTTTTCTTTCAATCCGCTGCTAGGCAACTCTTCTGATAGTGATGATGTTCGACCAATAAACAAAAGCCAACTTTGTGAAAGGCGAAACCACATTTAGATCAGTCTGACTGCATAAGCTTGCTTACTTAGAAATTTCAATCTGATCATTACCATACTTGTTGATTCTATTTTCAATAAGCTATGAAGTGACAGATTCTAGCTGTTTTCTATATTCTAGTATAATTACGAGTTCCCTTATTCTATGTCTTGTAGCTTTTTGCATCCTAGAAATTGTTCCTCAAATTTGTTGCTAATTTCTTGTCGCGTTTGTCCATAATTCATTTAGTTAGGATCTTATTTACAATGCCTTTGTTAGGTCTTATATTTTTCTGTTATGGACAGCCAACCTCCAAATCTCATTTATGTGCAGGCCTCCATCATGTCAAAGCATCTTGCTAAATCTGAGAAACCAAGGTAATTGATGCAAGTATCTGAAAAATAGCTCCTTACAGAAAATTGGCTGTTATATGACAGCTGTTTAACACGTGTACTTCTGCAGCCGAAGATTAAGCGGAGGTTTAAACTTGGACAGGGATTTACTCCTCTCATCACCATCTCAGGTATAAAACAGTTGACATCTCTTCCCTTCAGTCATTATGGCATAGTTATGGAACCATGTTTGAATTGCAATTCATTAAGCTGGCATCTAAGGCTTTGAATGGTTGGTATTGTGCTCCTCAATTGCTATTTTTCAGAAATCCTGATACGACATATCATGGCTATAGCCAAAACCTGTAGATTGATGCAACACTGGTTCACAATTAGTACTTAAATGTGATTTGTAAATTTGTTGGCAGTAATGCGTAAAAGGAACAACCAAGTCGCGCTGAAAGGCGAAAGATACTACCTGTGCACATGTATCAGGCTTATCATAGCCTGGACTTGAAACGCCCGAGTTCCCTCATGTGGATTAAGGCTGCCTTAGATAGCTGGAGCTGGTCGCAATGGTTTCAGCTCCTAGAAAATGTCGTATGTACTTTTATTGGCAATGTTATCGTCCTAGTTGCCTTGTTCTCCTTATTAACTAGTGTTATTACAAGGTTCTTAGCTGTAATGTAATAGGAGGTTGCTATGTTTGTGTGAATATGCTAATGAGACACGATTCTTGACACACTTACTCATGCCATTCTTATCTAATGGCTAGTATCATCCATGTATGGATGCTTCATTCAACTGTGACATTAGTACCAGTTTTTGCCTACGTCTCCTCTCCCTTTGCATCTTTCGCATTTCGGGGAAGGGGTGTTGGGAGGTAGGCGGACCTATGTGTATGGACGGACACTGCCAATCTGAAGAATCCATTAGGTTCTGTTTAGACGGAGCCGGTCATAGGGAGTTTCAGAAGAGTCGCCAAAGAGGCTGGAAAAAAAAAAGGGAGCGTTTGAAGTTTGATCTATTGAACCGTCCTGAGGTGGGTCACCTCGGGGGCAGGTTGTTAGTTGGTATGGCAACCCTGGAGGTTAAAGATGCTAATTCCATTGGTGTTGGTAAGTTGACGGAGCATATACATTCAGGGTCAACCTATATTATAGATAGATGATCAAGTTTGAAGTTTTATGGGAACTTTGGTGGGGAAGAAAGTCAGCACATCAATCCTATTTAATTCACTTAGATTCCTTTGCAAAGCAAGAAAGGTGCACCCTATTCACTGAATCATTCTGACATTGGGTTTGAGGAACTTAGTAGAACTTGCATGGTCGGTTTTGTAAAGATAATCCAGGGTTTTGAAGTTCCACAAAAACTGGCTTGATTAGTAGAGTAACTAGGTTAAACAGCTCTTTATCTTAAGGGTATGGCCATAGCACGTGAAATTTAACTTGAAACCATGGCCAATATGGTTTTAACGTAACCTTAACAGAAAAGCCTCTCTTCTCTTTGCTTGTCGACTACAAAAAGGAAAGTAACACTCGAAAGAAACACGGTAACAAATCACATAGATGCCAGTGGAGGGGGGTTTAGGGTACAAATCAAAACATGAAAATGATATTTTTACCAGAACCCCGGAGAGACTGAACAATCATTCATTTTCACAGAGCACGAAATAATAACAGGATCATGTGCCTTATTTTCCTTTCTTTCGGCTTTGAACAAGGATGCTTAATTGTTCAACCACTCTCTATATAATCTTTATAAGTTTTTCCCCTCTCATTAGTAGTGTGCATGGTCAACGTCTTAACTCTAACAACTTCATATTTTGCTCCTAAAACAACCTCATTCATACATCTTGTACAAACCTTATTAAACCACTACCTAAACATCCTTCCATTCTCATTCCATAGTTCACCACATTTTTGTTCTTCAGGTTTAGTTTGGAAGAAGAGAAATGGAGGCGAAAACCGGAGCCGAGAAGAAGCAGCTAATTTCACTGCTTCAAGGCAGTGATGCCATCTCCATCAATCGGGTTCTAGCGCGAGAACCCTCCATCGGGCTTGGCCAATCTTCGCGTATATATTACCGGAAACCTGAGGGTGTTCCTTTCAACTGGGAGATGCAGCCGGGGACTCCGATTAACCGGCCAGAAGAAGAAGCAATTCCACCCCTTAGTCCTCCTCCGCAGGTGCTAAGCTTGGGGTTGCCTAAGCCTTGTGTAGATCATCTTACTGATGAACTAGATCACTCAAAGGCCTGGTTCTGGAAGAAGATCAAGATTATCTACAAAGATAAGAAAACTCGAGCTCAAGCATCTAAAGAGTCGGATCCAAACATACAAGATAAAGATTATTCTGAAGGAGATTTTGTAGCCTCATCTTTCAACAACACGTTTACTGCTTCTTCCTCTTCCTTATCTTCAAGCTCCTCAAATGGTAATGCTGTGGAATCATCAGGCGTTGTTAGTGGGGAACTTCTTGAAGGTTCATTTTGCTGCAGTCCTTGGAACATCTCCAAAATCCTGGTTCGTCTCAAGATTATATTTTACACATCTTTTTTTCCTTCAATTTCTTCAGCTTATTTTTTCACTTTCATTATTTTAATCTTCGTTCTTACTTCGTTGTTGTCAACCACTCAACATGTTTGGTAAAGTTTTCTAAAATCTTTTCATGGATCATTTTGACTTTGCCATTCTCCTGTTTTGAAATTTGTGATTGAAGAACGAACATTGAGCCCAGTAAATTAATAATTCAAGAATCGAGGTTAGGACTCAAAAAGTCTTAATTCTTCCATATATTATTAAGTTAAAGTTTCACCAACCACATTTCCATTACCAAGAAGTAGTCCACTAAACTATGTTTGGTAATCGAATTCGAGGTTAGTAAGTGTTTTCTCCGTTTCAAATTGATCGTCCTGTTTGTTGTACTATACGCAGAGAAAAAATAATATTATGTAACAATTAAAGCGTAATCAAGTCAAACTTTCAAACAAATAGTCTTTTATCATACTCATGCATGCATGTTAATGAGCAATGAACTGTATAGTAGTAAAAAACAAGTTTTGTATAAGACTACAATGTCCAAATAGTTCCTAATATTTGGGCTTATTTGATTTTATGTCTCTAACATTAATATTTTAATATCATAGTCCTAAACAATATGTTTTCAAACTTTTTTGGTCTCGTTTCACTATTTCGACCACTTTTCCGTCCAACTCGATGTTGATCGACAGTTGACCTGCCGAAATCAGGGGTATTTTCATCTTTTTATATAATTTAAACCTCCATTAAAATTTAAATCATTAAAAATATTATAAAAATTCACATTTATTATTAATTATTAAAATATTATTTATTAATTTAAAATATTATTTTAAAATTTAAATTATTTTCAAAGTTATCTTTTTCTTTACTAAAATAAATGTTAATTACGTTGCACTTTTAACCGTCCACTGTAACTTTAAAAATTTACCGACTCACAATAAATAATTCAAAATTCAAATTTAAAAAAAAAAACAAAACCAAGATTTTTTACTTTGACAGCTACAATAAATCTTGAGTTATTTCTAAAATTTTACCGCGCTATAATAATTAATTAAAAATTCAAATTAATTTTTAAAAAAATTCAAGAAAATTGTGGGGTGAAATTCAGATAAAAAATAGTTTATTTAAGTTTTTTGCTTAGTTATTGCTTTGAATTGAAGATATAATTTAAAGTGTGATTTTAGTGAAAATTCAAAAAGTTGTTGGGATAGGAATTCAAATAAAATAATATTAGTTTTACACCATCACCGCTGCCTGCCGCCAGACCACCTCATGCCGCCGCGGCCGGTGACCGGCCGGCTGATGGCGGTCCGGTGGCAGTAGGAGGTGGTCCGGTAGCGGACGGCGTCGGTGGAGTATGGAGGTGGTGGTGTATAGATAATATTATTTTATTTGAATTTCTATCCCAACAATTTTTTAAATTTTCACTAAATCCACATTTTAAATTATATCTCCAATTCAAACTATAAATTAAAATAAAACATTTTTTATCCGGATTTTCGCCCACTTAATTTTCTTCCCTTTGGGCCCGCTGGATTTTTTACTTCGACCGAATAAAAAGTTGGTAGGTAAAAATTCAGATAAAAAATTTAGTTTGCTTTTTCTTTTTAAACAAAAAATTAAATTTTGAATTAGTTAGTGTAGTGCAGTAAAATTTTTGAGTGATATGGAGTTAAAAATGAAACGTAATTAATATTTATTTTGTATCCAGCATAAATGATAAATAGAAAAAAAAAATTAAAAATAATGTAAGTTTTAAATTTTATAATAATATTTTAAATTAATGAATAATATTTTAGCAATTAAACAATTAAATGTGAATTTTATGATATTTTTAATGATTTAAATTGTAATGTAAGTTCAAATTAAGTCAAAAGACAAAAATACTCTTAATTCCGGCAAGTCAACTACCGGTCAATATCGAGTTGGAAGGAAAAGTGGCCGAAACAATAAAATAGGACTAAAAAAGTGTCAAAATATAATGTTTGGGACTACGATATTAAAATATTAATATTAGGGACGTAAAATCAAGCCCAAATATAAGGGACCATTTGGACATTTTAGTCTTTGTATAAACCAAACTTTTGCTCTGAAGACCCATTATACCATAGATGATGGGATCAATTTTTCATGGATTCTGATTAATAATTTGTTGGTTGTTTGGCCAAAATCAATTGCAGGATGAAGGAAGCAGGAAAGTGTACTATTGCAGAATCCACAAGGCAGCATTTGCAGTAGAAAATGATGGTTGTTTGGTGGGAAAAATTCTGCCCAGAGTATCATCAGTTGGGCATTCTTTTCGTTCATACTACCGAAGCTCTGATGGGATCCCTTTCAAATGGGAAATGCAGCCCGGAACACCGATGAATCCGCCCGAAAACGAGCTCATTCCGCCCCCTAGTCCACCGCCTGCGGTTCAGAGTTTAGGACTAACACTTCCGAATCTCAATGACTCTGATGAGGAAACAGAGAAAAGTAGTAGAAGCTCAAAGATGGTAAAAATTTGGTTCTGGATTACCAACAAGAAAATGCAGGGAACTGAAAAGGTAGGAGGAATTAGGTGCTTGAGACTTGACAACAATGCAACAGTATCTGGCTGCTTGGTCGATGATGATCGGAAATGTGTCGAGTCAAATGGTTCAATCGCCGGCGGCCGGTCTTGTTCATCATCATCATCAATCTCCTCCCCAAGTTCAAACGTTTCTGTCCCCAGATCAAATAGTTTGGTCAAAGTTTCCAAATTTAGAAGGGATTTTTTGGGTGGTTACTTCTGTTTCCATCCATCAACCTTGTAGTATTTTGTGTCATATTCTTGTAACCTGTAATAATAATTCACACACCCAAAAAAAAAAAAAAAACCAGATATGTAAAACCATTTGTCCTGAATCCTGATAATGATATATTTTTTTTTAACGTCGGGAACCCCACCAAAAATAGATAAATCCACGCTCATTGCAATAACTTGCAAACCACAATGGGAGAAAAATTACTATAGGCAAGCCCGGGGTGACAAGCTCGGGTTCGAAATCGGGAGTTCATGAGTGACTTTGACATAACAAACCCTCTAGAGGTACCTATTGTCAAGGTTAGAGTCATCTCTCACTCTTTTTTTAAAAAAAGGACCCTCACTCTTGTTCGAATGGGATTTGAACTCATGATCTCTTTTTAAGAGTAAGAGTGATTTTGTTATTGAACCAACACCTCATTCGCTTGATAACTATTTTTTGAATATTCAGCATTCGCACCTTCGGAATTCATTGGTAAAAGAATTTTACAGTGCAATATTTACAATTATACAAATTGGTTATTATAATACAAATTTTGGAAAGATGTTCAACAACTAGCTAATTACAATTTTTTTTTGGTCAAGTTTTAAACTATATTTGACTAATTATAAAAAAAAAAGGAAGAAGTTCAAACTCTCTCTATCATCGAGATTATCTTGAGACTTCCAGTACTTGGACAAGTTCACTTTTCTTTGTCACTAATTTTGATGATCAGATTTCCTTTCTTCACGTACTTACTCAAATCATAAAGAGCAGCTACCCTTTTTTTTTTTTTTTTTTTCTTCTTTATATGTAGGAAGCCTAATGACTTTGGTTACAAAAGATCCCAAATGGGTCGGGATGACGCCGATCTATCTGTCTCTACACATTTCCTCGCTTTAGGAGGAGGCGTAGATAAAAGATGTTCCTCTAATGGGCAAGAAAGACCAAATTTTGCAGAGACATCCATAACATCATTATTTCATCGTCTTGTATGCCTAAAGAAAGTTTGCCAACTAAGTCTAAGTAATGTCTGAATCCGCAAAGAGCAGCTACTCTAAACGTTGGTTCAATTTTCATTAGTAATTGAAGCAGAATCACACCAAATGATAGGACTTAGGATAAGTTATTATAAACAAATTAAAGGCAATTTTTTTTTTTTCATTACAAGGGAAGTCGTTGGCTTAGTTACATCCTACTAGTACTTGGTAGATTAGCTATATCTAACTCTAAAAACTTGTGAGCGCAGAAGGAGGAGTTGCTAAAATATGTTCTCCAACTGAACACGAAAACCTGAATTTTGATTAGACATTCACGACGGCTTTATTCCAATGTCAGGTATGTCCAATCAAAACACGCCAATTAAGGTTGAGTAGGAGTCTAATTCTATAGGAAAAAAAAACGAAGATCATCTTCAGAAAAAAAAAAAAAAAAAAACGAAGAGTCTTCCCAGATTAAAGCCATTGATAATATGGAATTGAAGAGAGAAATTCCCAGAATTAACACTACTATTAGGACCTTTTCAAAAACACCACTGTTGGGGGCCCAATAGATTTCTTGACTTAGCCCATAGGGTCATGGGCCTATAACATTTTTTTTCATCAGTCTTTCACGAGTCTCATCAGCCCTCTCAATTTAGCGGGAAAACACGGGGAAGAAATGGCGGGAATTTCATACCCAGAAATTAGTAGACATTCATAAAGTTTTATCATAATCAAATTGAAGGGAAAGATTTGAAGGAGAAACAAAAACCCAAAAGGAAAAAAATGTTCTCCAGCACCCAGATGGACGCCGCCGGCGGATTCTCCGCCACTCAAAACAACGATGGCTCCCTCTCTTCCGCTAAGGTACTTCTTCTAATTTCTCTCTGTTTATGATGAAAAAAATTACCCAATTTTTACTTTCTTTTGCTTACCGGATTCCTGTTGGGAAAATGAAATCAGAGTCGAGATGCGCAGCCCATGCTACCGGTGACGGTGAAGCAAATCAGCGATGCTGTTCCTAGCGATGACAAAGCGACCTTTGTCATAGACGGTGTTGATGTGAAACATGTGGGTTCCTTTTTTGTTTGTTTGTTTGTTTGTTTGTTTTTTTTTTTTTTTCAAGTTTTAGTTCTCAAAGATTGGATCTTTAGCTTAATGGGGTCGTGATTTGATTAATTATCTTGGATTTTCAGGTGATGCTGGTAGGAATGGCATTTGAAAAATCTCAGAGGGTCACCGATGTCTCCTTTGTGATTGATGATGGTACCGGTCGTATTAATTGTCACAGATGGTATGAATCTTTATCTATATATTTTGTTCTGTTTGTGTGATAATTTGATGGGAATCAAAATTATGTTTTAGTATTGAATAACCCAGAAAGTTAACAGTACATAGTAGAAGGGAAATGGAATGAGATACTATGATTTATGTGACCTATGTCCATGGTTGTATAAAAACCAATACTTCACTAGCCGCTCTAGATATTTTACAAAAGATGAGTGAAAGATCTTTAATCTGAAACCTCTAATTTGAGGTTTTTGTTGTATATGTGGTGCTGCTAAAGCTTAGATAAAAAAGGCTTCTAGATTGATCTCATTAGCATGTGAGCTCCCTCAATGCATTGATAGACCATAGCAAATTAGCCTACGTGTCTCCATCCAATGCTCAAATTTTTTATTTTGGAGATTGTGTCCAGCAAAGTATGATTCCAATGCATGCCAATTAGTTTCTAGTCAAGAAATGCACCAAATTTTATTTGAGGGGCCAAGTGACATTGGCGTGCCAATTAACAAATCTCCACCTTGGCTTGGACTTGGAAAGCTTTTATACTTTTCTTCACTCGATACCAAGTCCAAGTCAAGTTGTAGGTTTGTTCGTTGGCGCCTTAATGTGCCTTGGTCCTCCTAATTAAATGTAATGTGTGCCTTACCTAAAACTTCTGCGAAGCATGCTTTAAGTTTTAGTTTTCTGTAAGACACGCTTTTTCAAGATCGGCTTGATTTGTGCAGTGAATTGGATCAAAACATAATTGGCTTATTTTCTCTAAGTTTGCCTACAAATGGAGCAGTCAAATGTTTTCATGTGCACCAGCATCTTGAAAGTTCAGCAGTTCTTTCTTTTGTTGGTTATCTGTTCTATAGATGCTCTTAATTAGCCTTGCAATTATTTCGTATGCATGATTCGGACATGGTTAATTATAGAAGCAAAGTATTATGTTTGAGATTTATATACATTATCATCATTTCGTGAAGTTTGGGTTTCTCCTGCCGAGGACTAGGTTATTGATCAAATGTAAAACCTGGATATGTTAAGTAATATGATTGTTACTTCCAATCAGTTTTTTTGACATGAAAAAAGCTTGAGAGTTGAGTCCTAGTAATTTACACTACTTGAGCAGTTTGCTATTTGAGGAAAATGTGATTGTTTTCTCTTTTTCCTGTTTGGCACTATTATTCAACTCAGGAGATCAGTTGTTGGCTTAGTTTTCTGTTCTGCATAGGAATGTTATTGGACTGACAAAGTGATGTACCTTTCGTAAGCTCTTGCTTACTTCAAAGATATGATTGATACAAATATGGTATTACTTGTCAGTCTTTGTGACTGCTGATTAAGCTTCACTTTAGTGACAATATGGAGTCAATATTTCTGACTTTGCACAAGTTTAATATAAGTGCGTGGCCTTTATTTACTATTCCTTGACAGAAGAATAAACAAAGGAACATGATGTACATTCTTGGCTCTAATGCGTGTTCCCTTAATCTTGCTCAGGGTTAATGATACCGTGGATACCAGTGAAGTCGACCTATTGTCGTAAGACATCTAATTTAAATTATTTATCTATTGTCACATTGTTTTTGCACATGAACTTGACAGTTTTATATCCTTGACCATAGTGACGGGTCATACGTTCGTGTACATGGACTTTTGAAAGCCTTTCAAGGAAACAAGCAAATAGAAGTCTTTGCCATCAGGTGTGCAACATTTACTTCTCTTATCAATTATTGTAGTTGGTGATTGAAACCTAGGCTACCAAAACCTAAGTTGTTTAGTTGCCTCTTCTCCATCATTTCCTTATAGTGATAAAAATTGCACGTCATAATTTAGCTGTCAGCCGATTCACATCTTTCAGATTGCACAATTTATAAATGATGTCGTACCAGTTTGTTCATGATTATGTGAAATGATTTTTGCCTGCGGGTGAAAGAGAATAAAAAACTTTGAGAGAGATTCTGTTTAGTTGGGATTGAGTTTTTCTGTTGAAGAAGCTCCAGTTTCATTCAGCTCTCTCATGTATCCACTCCACTATGTAATTTAGGTCTAGCCAGTAAAATAACTGATGCTCCCTTGCATTTTATGGGAAATGACAATTTTATTTTCTCTATTTCAGGCCTGTGACAAATCATGATGAGGTTTCATGTCATTTTCTTTCTTGCATACATTACCATACTTACATCTCCAAGAAGGTATTAATTTCTCTAATTTTGTCGTGTTAAAATTTCTTTCCACCATTTTTATGCATATGTATACTTTTAACTGATTCATCTATTAGCTTGAGATATGACACTTAGTCACTTGCTTTGATGAGCAGAATGGTGTCACTATTTCCTCACAGCCACATAGTTCCACTCCAGCAGTTAGCACAACTATGACTGGAGTTCAAAATTCATTTTCAGATCATGTAAGTACACTTTAATATTCTTTCAAATTGTCGGTTCTTGATCATATAATCTAGTGCTGATTAGAGCTTTGTATCCATCAGTTCTCTGGACAACAAAGCACGAATGGACACAAAGGCATTGATCAAATGGTGCTGGAGTATCTGGAACGACCCATGTCTCAGTAAGTCTCATAAAACTATGGAACAGCTATGTAACCAACTAAAACAGTCCTGAACATAAATGAATATAATGTCCTCTCATGGACACCCCTCAAGTTGAAAAGGACCTAGTACTATCATCAATTCATTGTGTTTACTACGTGCATAAGACCTTAAGCCATGTATGTTTACCAGGGTCCGTTGTGCGTCTTACTGATATTGAATATCTATTTGCCTATAATTGCAGGGCTCAGGAGAAAGGAGTACACAAGAATGAAATCGCCAGCAATCTCAAACTGTCAATGGATAAGATCTCGTCCGTCACTTTCTCTTGATCATCTCTCTGTATCTCTGTGTATTAAAAATTACAGTCATTTTAGTAAATGCTTATTGTGTTCTTGTTTGTGCAGGGAGGTTATCGAGACCTTAGAATCGGAAGGACTAATCTACTCAACCATTGATGAGAATCATTACAAGTCCACTTCCTGCGGTTAAGCTTAAGATTTCCATGTGGGCTGATTCCTGTCCAAAGTCCAAACTATCTCCTCAAAATGAAGTACTTTCGGGAATGAGCTTCCTTTAGTTTGTTTCAAGTTTTCCTTATGTTAGTATTATTATAGTTTAAAAATCAAGAGCAATGCAGTAGGGAACAAAGCTTGAATGATACTTAAAACAGTACATATACATTTGGTATGATTATCAGGGTGGCTATGCTGAATTTTATTCATGTGCATGCTTTCTGGAATAGACACGTTGCTTGGAAGGATCAACAAATAAGGATCATCCTCCTTTTGCGATTTCCCGATGAAAAAAAAGTTAAAATAATCCCATACATCTAAATATATCCACTTTGATGAAATCAGAAGGATGAATCAACGTTTTCTTTTTCTCTTTTTTCACCTCCTTTTGTTTTGAGAGTGCACGTGTGGCCTGAATTGAAGCTGAAGGAGCCAAGGAGATTGAACACTCAAGAGAGAAAGAGAGTCATGTGAGTTTTACTCCACCGCCCACTTTTTGTCAGTACTCAGCCCTCCTTCCGGCCATTTTTAACCTATCATAATGTAGTCGGAATGCGACAGCGGTGTAAACAGCCGCAAAGCCATGGCGGTCCTTTACGGCAAATCAGAAAATTTTTTCTGATGCCTAACCAAATGAAGCATATGGAGCTTAGTAGTTTTCTACTCCTTTCTGTTGGGGATTTATCTAGAGAAAAAAATCCGACATGAAACTCAATAAGTAAGATAAGACCCATCTAAACTCAAAAGTTCAAGTTAATGGGTTCTGAGACCACCTTACTTATTAACTGATTCACATGTTCTCGTGCTTCCAACGTGAGATTCACAATCCTTGTCACGTGACACTTTCTCACCTTGGATTGCTTTCCGCTTTTAACCTTTTTTATGAACTTACACCACAAGTTAAGTTATGACAAGCAAACTTGTAATATTGTAACTAGACACTAGATATGAGACCAAACACCTTAAATAACAAAATACGGTTATAATGTGTACCTAGTATAACCACAAAAAAGAAGCCACATTGCGTATATTTTATCAAAATCTTAAACTTAAGATAAGGTTATGATTTATGAAGAGAGTAAATTATAAAAGGTTTCGGGTGGGCAAGGAAAAATCAGCGTAGCCGGGAAGTGATTTTTGTTTATTTTTGGTTGTGTCAAGTGGAAGTGATGATCATGTTGTAATAATAACATTAGTCAAAAAAGGACTCCATTTGAGAGCTGGGACAAACCGCGAACGTGCGGAATGATTCATTTCACTCCAGTTGCTTTGACCATTGACCCAACTATACATGGGGGCCATCGGATTCTACTAATTTACTCCAAAAGTTACGGTACTACTCGTATAATTTACAGCTCCTAACAAAATGAGGGCACAAATTACAATAGTACATATACAATATTGCGGTGCCTATAATTAAGTGAGTGATTATTATTTAACGATGAACATCGTCCAAATATAAAAACATTAAAACAACATATCTAATACTACCTCAGTCTCAAAAAAATAGTTTACATTGAGTTTTCAAATTTGTATTAAAAACAGTACAAAACTCAAAACTCAATATGGATTATTTTTGTGTGGGACGGAAGGAGTATATATTTATTATTACGAGAAAATCTTAATTAAATCATATGTGGAAAAATGACGACGTTGGTCCTACTTAATATTAATTGGAGATTATTTGCATTTGCCATTCATTACTCCACGTGTCTGAATAAATATTGTCCATTTTATTAAAATGTTTTTAAGATTCAGAATAAAATACGATTAAGGTTATTTGAATGCTCTTCTCTCCCTTGCATCTGTAATAAATTATGCAATTATGCATCTATATATGGCGTCCACAAAATTAATGGAGAGCTCCTTTCTAATCAGTTATACTTTTTTCATCTCAAAACAATTATTTAGAAAGAGTACTCATGAGTCATGACCATCGAGAACTTTGTGAGATTAATACATATGCTTAATTGACTACAGTAATAATTCTCAAAACGCAAAATATACGATTGAGGATTGAAGTTGAACAGTACGTACATGCAATCCAGGGTAGAATTTATCACGGAAAAGGTGAATCATGGAAGCTGCACAGAAGCAATATATTCATAATAAATTATATGTAGAAGGTGGAAGGATGGATACTGCAGAGCAAAGTACGTACGAATAACATGTACGTACTTCCATTCCAGCATCAGTAAGCTAAAAGGTAGCCAGCAGCATTTATCTCCACCCCATTCTTCAATTTAATTACCACTGCTCCCTACATATAAATATTTTCTGTTTTTATGAGAGCGAATTATTAAGATCCTCCAGTCTAAGGACCACTGTCTCACTCGCACGTAACTGGTGAATTTTGTTTACGAGCTCCACCCGTTATGTGAGAGAGAGACAAGTGATCTAGATATTTTATTAGATTGGAGTATTTTGTATTTTGTTATCATTTTACTTATGGTGAATTGTTTAGTCTTATAAAGTGAATTATGAAAATGAGACGGATGAAGTATTTATTTATTTTCTGAGTTTTATATACTTATAAGGCAGGAAGTATGGAGTACGCTCTGTAGCTACATTATCTGAGATGAGTGAGAGAGAAAGTAGGGAAAAGAAAAGAAAAGAAAAGAAAGGAGGAATGAAGGGGATGCCTTTTCTCTTTGTTGCTTGCAGAAATGCAGAATGCAGTGCATGCAGGACTTTGATAGATTCCCAAAAAATGGCAGCAGCCACATTTGCATTTGCTTTTCATCCCTCTTTTATTTATTTCTTTTTCTTTCCACACCGCCTTAATCTCCCGTGTCCTACACCGCCTAGCATTACGTCTTTCTACCACCTCTTTAGTCTTTACATAACCGATAATGAGTTTAACATTTAGGATCTTTTTCAGTTCAATTGATGATACGATGCACAAGGAACTCAATCATTTTTATTGATAAAAAGTGAAAAAGATTTAAGATTATAATACAATGAGAAGACGTGTTTTCACTACCAAATCAATATTATTGACAAATTTATAAATGTAATTATGTTAGTCTATTAATCCACGTCGTCCCAAATCCGCATCTATAATGGGTTATATTTAAAGTTTCGTATTCGCCCGTTATCGCCACCACAGTAGTCTGTTAGTGACTTCGCGATAATTTGTAGCCTTAATATATTTCCCGTTTATTAAAAAAATTGTAATATTACAATTTTTTTAATAAACGGGAAATATATTAAGGCTACAAATTATCGCGAAGTCCATTGGTGCTTTGGAGGTAACTAGACTGTTACAACGGGGATAGAACCTTTTGGGGAAAGGATGGTACTATTATGAGGAAACTCCACTCGTATGCGCCACTTGCTCGACGTGTCCGGTCCTCCGTGACCGATTATGGCAGACCTTCTACATGCTTCAGCTGGCTATTGGTCAGTTACCTGTTTCCCGCATCCACTGTAGGAATCGAACCCTCAACCTTATGGTTAAAGGTATAACGCCCTAACAACTTGAGCACGACTCGATTCCCTCGGGTCCCATTAGTTGTGTGGCTTAAAGCAGATAGTTCAAGTTCTTTGATAAACTATTTTTAAAATTTTCTCGCATGATTTGCAATCTTTGAAAGTGGAAATTGTATAAGATTATTGGATGACAAAATCACCATAACTTTATATAATAAGTAGTCAATGTATTAAACAATTCATGCACAAAATTTATTTATGTTTATTTATTTATCTTTGGTAAAGATAATCTTATCGAGAGTAGTTCAAATTTTATTGCTTCTTTCGTGAGTAGTGACCTACTAATTCTTTGATTCAAGTGTTTGAAACATAGAAGTTAATACAGCCTAGTCACATGGTCTTATGATATTGCATCTTTTGAATGATTTGGTGTTTAATAAACTGTCGTAGAAAATGTATAATGTCAATATTATAATGTGGTATAGTCCCATACTAGAACAGGCTATACGAACTATAAAGAAATTCAGTGGTGATATAATGCCTTCGTGGCTGCAAATACATGATTTGTGGTGAAATTATGAAATCCAACCACCGCGTAGATATAGTGTGCTATACTAAAATCCATATGGCCTCCTTGAAGTCGACGGCGATTGTGGATATAAGTTGTCTTTTATCCAGATTTTGTAACTTGATTAATCGGAACAATCCCTTCGGACAGTGAATATATAATATATTAAAAAAATTGTAACTTGATTAAATTTGTTGATAGCTTCCTTTCTTTTACCAACAAAATATATATCGGTTTCAATTTGAGATAAGCAAAATATTTACTGTTATAATATAATTATTAGGTTCTGGACCTCTGTAATAGCACGAGTTTGATATTAAAATTGAATATGTTATTTCTATGTAATCAGTTTTAAAAGGAGGGTGATAAAGGTTAGCTATGATGCTAATTAGCTCAAGGTGAAAAAGGTAAACTCAAGAAATTCAGAAAATTATCATTACAATAAAATTAGCAAATTTAAAATAATTATTATCCCACTGTTAACAAAAAATTCATATGACCAAAAGAAAAATTTAGATGACAGTAACAATAGATGAAAAGGACATACAATCATTAAATCCAATCTTTCAGTGAAATTCATATGACCAAAAGAAAAATTTAGATGAAAGAAAAATTTAGATGACAGTAAGCCGTTAGTTAACCATTTTTCATAAACAATGCAGACAACAAACTTGATTTATTGAACCACATAAGGATGAGGGTGAAACCTAATAATTTGATACTGCTCATTTCTATATATATTGGCATCTTGTTTATCACCAAAAAAGGATTTGTCACAAACAGTGGACTCACCACTCTTTATTATGAACCTGCCATTTTTGCATTGTAGGAAGATGTGAAATAGTGAGATGCACGAAAAAAAGCAAAATAAAAATTAAGCGTTGTTAGAAAAAAGTTCACTTTACTCGTATTGAGTAAACAATTATGTTTCAGAATAGGAGATTAGATGTAGTTAAAGGATTGTGGCTACATGTTGGTCGCCCCCTCTAAACTCTGTGGTCATTGATGTTGATTGTCATCGGAAATCTCCGATTCCGATCAAAGAAGAAGAGGGACGATTCCCATTTTCATATTTGGAGGTAATCTTCATTCGATTTTCTTTTCACCTGTACATGAATGTGTGTGAATGGTTTTCTCGAGTGCGACATAATTCATCATAATAAATGGTTTTAGGTTAAAGTCATGCGTAACTCTAAACTTTTATTTATTTATTATTTTTTTGAAAAAACTGATTTCAGTTTCCTCATTACCATGAACATGGATGAAAATGAAGAACCGAAAGTTATTTTTTGAATGAGAATCCCCCCAAAAAAATTGATTTTAGTTTCCCGTATTTTTTTCTTTGTTTTGTTTTTTTGTTTTTGTTTTTTTTTGGATTTGAGTGATGAGACTTTCAAGGAAAATTTTTCAGTTTCTTTTTTTTTTCCCCCTTTATTTTGCTTTTTGTTTTTTTTCTTTTTTTTTTTTGTATTTGAGTGAGGAGACTTTAAAGAAATATCAACACTTGGAATTTTGATAAATATGTGATTTTTGTTATGAGTAGTAATAAATACAGAGAAAAATTAAGGAAAACTTACTAGGAATGATGTGTCATTCATTAAAACTATGCCATAACCTTAAATGGTTAAACTCTAAATAGAAAGTTCTAAGAATGAATGACTATTATCAATTTCTTGTCATTTTTTTCATGCACTAATCATTACCTTTTTGTTATAATGAGGGTTATAGATTATAAATATATCATAGATAGGCGTTAAAACATGAATAAATAAAGATAGCTACCCTTTAAAAACTTTTTATGAGGAAAAAAAAAAAGAATGCCACGTGTAACTCAGGGGCCCAAATCAAATTATTCGTCACGGGTCGTCGTGTCCCCTTCTCCTCCATCCTGCTTCCTCACATTGATACACATTCCTCCCCTCTGAAAATTCAGTCTAATTTCTGGACATTTTATCTTACTCTCTTTGATTTCTTTCTTTCTTCTGAATTTTCTTTTCTCTGATTTGCCTTTTATGCCTTTCATCTCTATTTAGTTGTCCATTTTATTAATTATAAAAATAACAATACAAAGGAAAATAATGTATAAAGTGAAAATATACAGTGAAATGAAAAATCATAACTATCCCTTTTGAGAAAAGTGTAATTTATTTATCTTTTAATCACTATTTTATTTTACTATAAACTATTACTATATGTATTCTAAAACAAAATATAAATAATTTATTAAAATGAGACCGAAAGGAAAAGAAAAATACAATCATATCTTTCATGCTTGAAACTTTTAGCTGGATCACTAGTTTGACGGTTGATTGGACAATTGTAGTGAAATATGATTGACAAATGAATAATTATATATGATTCTGATTGATGGGCGTTAAACAAACTTACTTCAATGATATATTCTTTTCTTTTCTTGTCAAATTTGAAGTATTATGAAATATTATAATTTATAAGAAATATTTTAATGTTTCATAGTGATGAAGATGATGTGAAGGATGACAAAATAATGAGGAAGAAAATCCATCTATTTGGTTATTTAATAGAGCATTTAATATTTTCTAACATTATTTATCTCGTCATGTTGTTTTTATCTTCCAACAATTATAATAGTTGACCACTTGTATGATATGATTGGCAATAGATCTTTTCAAAGTTTTGTTGAACAATGTCTCGCAAGTAGTACGAGTCCAAGACAAATATTGTGATTCGCAAAATGTGGTATATATTGTCACACAAAAACGACATTAACACTCACACAAATTTTTTCTTTCTAATATTTATCCCGTAGGGTTGAAAATTGCGAAATTAAGATATATATTATGTCTGCCTCTGAAAAAACTAGCACACATTGAGTTTTAAAATTTGTATTATAAAATACAAATCTCTCTATCTCAAATCTCAATGTAGGCTATTCATCTCAAAACTCAATGTGTAGTATTTTTATAAGACAGAGAGAGTATAACCTACTACTCTCCCTATCTCAAAAAAAAATAATAATAATAATGAAAAAAAATTTACATTGTTTTGAGATTGATACTAAAAATATGGACTACTTTTTCAGGATGAAAAAAATAATTAACAGTATGTAAAATGGTCTTAATGAAGTCCGAGATATAGACGACGACAAAAAATTAACTAAATAACACTTCCTCTGTTATAAAAAAATTTACAAAGTTATACTCTCTGTCCCAAACTTATTGTCCAATTTAGACTAAAAAAATAAAAATCCAAACTGCATAATAATTTCGAGATAAAGGAAGTAATATATAGTTTAGCGATTACTACTTCCTCTCCTCGACGAGTGCGGTTATAGTATAGTGATTTAGGCTTTGTTTATTTCTTTTTTCCTATTTTTTCTGAAATTTATAGTAATATATTATTCGTTTCATTATTCCAATATTTTTTTTCATTTTTAATATTTATTTTAAATATACATGTATTTTTTTATCAAAAAAAATACTTAAAAATATACATCCAAACATACCAAGTAATTCTTACTCGTTATAACTCTCTTCCTATACACGAGCGTAGTTACTTAATTTGGACATTCCGGGACCAATCAATATAATTCTTTTATTATAATGGGCGTAGATTTGTCAACTCTGGTAAGTTTTTAGCGTTTAAGCAAGGAAAAAGAATGGAATTATATTTTGGAAAAAATAAATAATTCGATTGAATAACAAAGATATTATCACTTTTTTATTTTATTTTTAAATTTAGTATTCATTGGTGCTTTCAAAATACATGAGCTATTATACCAAAAAGGAGTACTGCACTTGTCTTTTAAATTATTTTAGATCGCATTTATTAGTGTTTTAGGGTACCTATACTAAATGCAATGATTATCGGAATAGAACCTACTTAATCTCTTGTATGGTGCATTTGGTCCATTGTAAGAATCAAACCTTCAATAACCTAATCACCATTCGGCCAAAAAAAATTTCAAAAAAAGATGTGGACAAAAATAAATTTTTTTTTATTTTTAGTGGACAAAACTAATTGTCTCGAATTTGTCAAATCCGAATCTGGTACAAAATGGATAGAATCGGATTTGACAAATCCAAGACAACGAGATTTGTCCACACCACTCCGGGACATATATTTTTGTCCAGATTCTTCCATTAAAAATTATTTGAATAAAAAACTCATCACGAAACTTAATTCCTATTTTTTAACTACTGGTTTCCCACATTGACCAAAAATATGGAAAGTTAAATCATCGAGCTAGCAATTGAGCGCTCTAGTGATTGAAGCATGACCAATTGTTTTCCGATACAATAATGATGGAGGTTTTATACAAATAGTAGTACATTTTGGGATATATACGGAGTCTCAATAAAATCATACTCCAGCCATAATTTAAAAGACAGACAATAGAGCTTCCAGACTTCTAGTCAATACAAATTCCCTGTTCCTAAAATTGTTACAAGTAACATTAGACAGTCAGTTACAAAATTTGCCTATGAACTTTCAATTAATATGACAAGATATTATCGCGAAAAGCGAAGGACTATCTCGTCTATTACTAACCGTGGCGGCTTCATCATAAAGCAGATGGTGAAGTTGCCGCTTTAGGTCCCCAAATCTTAGGGCCCTAATTTTTAATATTTCTTAATATTATATATACATATTTAAAAGTTAATCACAAAAAATTGCTATTTACAAAACTAAAAATCAATTATTTCAATTAATCAAATAAATGTTTTAATATACTAAAATAAGATCAATATTGAGATTATGATTTTTGGTGTGAAAATGTGGTAAGTTAACTTTCCCTAATATATACTTTTGGCTTTATAAAACTTAATCTAAATTGACAAAAAAAGTTTTTGATCCCACTTATTCTAGATTTTCGGATTTATAATTTTACTAAATAAGAAGAAAGATTAATTGTTTTTTATATATATTTAGTTTCTTATTTTTAAAAAAAGACCTAAATTTTGAAAATCGCTTTAGGCTCTAAAACGTTAAGGAAAAAACGTTAAGCTGCCCCTGATTACTAGTAGTAGTATCATGATCCAAATTTTAAGAAAAAAAAGGGAAAAAAAAAAGGGAGTAAAGTATTTTATGTCCTCTGTCATATGAGTAAAGAGAGACAGACAGCAAAGACCGCCCAATCATCCCATGAAATGCTTCCACTTGTTTTTGCTCTCTGCAACCTAACAATAACAGTACACAATACCCCCTCTCTCTATTTATATATACTACCACACACCAATTTGCATAGCATTCACACCAACAACAAACAAAACATTAATTAAAATCATAGTAAAATCTCTGAGGACACGTCCATTACTTCTCTTCCTTTACCTTAGTCACTATGAAAATGACTTGAATATGTAAATATAGTTGCCTCGTTCCTCGTGCAAAACCCTTCTCTCTTTCCCTCATTTTCCTCTATATTTGTGTCCCTTGCCTCCTCCTTCATTAGCAAATTTTCCTTCTTTTTCTACTCAGCTAAGCAACAAAAAAAACAACACTGCTAGTACTAGTCCTTTTAAGGGCTTTAAAACTTCTCCTCCCTTCTTCTCTTCATCCTTTCCAAGATTTTTCACACAGTCACACAGTACTCGAAACTCATCAAAACAACTACAAGAACAACAACCAAAGAGGCGCAGTTTCCCAAAGAACCCATCTGGCCAACAGATCGGAAAAACAAAAAAGAAAAAAAGGAAGGAAAAAAAAAACACGAACCACTATTTAGTTTTTAGAAGTTGGAAATAATGAATATGAACTCGGGAGCATCTTCTTCTTCTTCTTCCCATGACAATAACTGGCTTGCTTTCTCTCTTTCCAACCATCTCTTCGAATCCTTCAACAATCCTCCTAATTCCTGTACTACCCTTTTTCTCTCTTAATATATTTGTGGTTTTTTTTTTTAATAACATAAACATAAAAATAAATGATTTGTTTTTTTTTTTTTTTGTAGCAAATGAAGTAAATAATGGTGCAAGTGGAACTACAGCTACAGATTTATCCACGGTTCTCAACTATGGTGCTACAAGTAGTCCTAAGCTTGAAGACTTTCTTGGCGGCGGCAGCGGCGGCGCTAATGGCTCCACCTCAGCTGCGGCGGCCGGAGCTGGTGGCAATGATGTTTGTCAGCTCGCGGCGGAAGCTTCATCCGTCCAGCATCATCATCATCATATGCTTACGACAACTGATTTGTACGATTCCGAGCTGAAATCTATAGCAGCGAGCTTCTTACGTGGTTATACCACCGAACTGACGGAATCCCAGAAGCAGTTGGCGGTGGTTTCGCCGCCCGAGCCTCCGGCGAAGAAGGCGGTGGAAACATTTGGACAGCGTACCTCGATATTCAGAGGCGTTACTAGGTAATTACTGAATCTTTTATTTTTTAAAGCGTTTCATCAAGAATATTATTATACTATATTTTATGATATGATTATTGTGAAAAAATCTAAATAAAATATTTGATTTGTTTTTCTTTAATATCTTTTGTCGAACTTTCCAGGCATAGGTGGACCGGAAGATATGAAGCTCATCTATGGGACAATACTTGCAGAAGAGAAGGCCAAAGTAGAAAGGGAAGACAAGGTTGGCATCTTTGTCCATATATATAATATTTAGGGTTTTTTTTTTAAAAAAATAAATTCTTTTTAGATTTTCTCTTTTGATTTTTCTTATATCCTAATCTAAGAACTACAAGAGATCTAAGTTTGAGATTATTGTTTTTGAAACGCTTAGGCGGGGTAATGGATTTTTCTGCAAGATTATTGAATTATTTGAAGGGAGAATATTATAAGAAAAAGGATATAAGATGTGTTACATGGGTGCGTGCGCTAATGTTGGCTCTTTTTCTGTGGCATGTGTGCTTGGACGAATGATTATGCTATGGACAATTCAAATCGTGGATTCAGTTTATTTGGGTAAGTATTACTGATGGAGTCCTTATTCCATCATGATTTTTTTTCTCTATTTTCTGGTCCGTGCAGAAGATAATTTGAGAAATCATTCCTTTTGGTATCAAAAGAATCTTCTGGAATGGACAAAATTGACTAAATAGTATTTGTTCTGATCAGACTGATGCTAGATTCTCCTTGGATTCTCATTTTTTTTTCTGACACTGTTTAATTTAGCGTGTGACTGTGTGTACTTCTAAATATTGATGGGTATTCTTTTTTGGGTTAATTGTTGTAGGTGGATATGATAAAGAAGAGAAAGCAGCTAGGGCGTATGATCTTGCTGCCCTCAAGTACTGGGGTCCGACCACTACTACAAACTTTCCGGTAACGCCTGAACAGTTACCATGCATTTCCTCTTCTCCCGCGTTCTCTTAGTCTATGATAGTTAGTTTTTTAATGCTTAACCGGTTAACCCTTGCATTGAACTATTTGCAGGTGTCTAACTATGAGAAAGAATTAGAGGAAATGAAGCACATGACGAGACAAGAATTTGTTGCTTCTCTTAGAAGGTTAGTTTAATTTTGAGATGCATATGTCTTAAAGTTTCCACATTTTTTTTGGGTATTCTTCTATATTGTTGTTCCATTTCAGCTAATCTTTATGGTTCTTTTTTATTTTTCCTTTTGCAGGAAAAGTAGTGGGTTTTCTCGAGGCGCATCGATTTATAGAGGAGTCACGAGGTACTTATATTGAAAGATTATTTTTTGGATGATGAAAACTAATTGACCTCGGCATTAATTTAAATTTAATTTAAGTTGGAGATAGTGTGTACAATATGCTCGTGCTGGACTAATTTATGTATCCAAAATTTATAGGCATCATCAACATGGTCGTTGGCAAGCACGAATCGGGAGAGTAGCGGGGAACAAGGACCTCTACCTTGGGACTTTCAGTAAGTTACTGTTATCTCATGTCCATATTTTTATGATTATTCAGTGACACAAGAAGCTTGTAACATTACTTTGACGAAATGGTATTATTGTTGTAACGTTTTGAACTTGTTTTTAAAATAGGCACTCAAGAAGAAGCTGCAGAAGCTTATGATATCGCCGCAATCAAATTTAGAGGCCTCAATGCAGTGACAAACTTCGACATCAGCCGTTACGATGTCAAGAGCATTGCATCTTCCAACCTACCCGTCGGAGGCATGTCCAGCAAATCCACCAAGACCTCGTCCGATTCCATGTCCGACAACAAATCAGGCGACGGAAGCCACCACTCCAACGAGAACGACCACCATTCTCCGGCCACATCGGTGTCCTTTCCGTCCCATCACCACCAGCCGGCTCCGTCAACCTCCACAGTAGTAACCTTCAACAACCCAGAGTTTTGGTCCAACTTAGGCTACCACAACACTTCCTCACTGAACAACTGTGCGGCCAAAGCCATCCCATTTTTCCAAAATCCAAATAACCCAAATGGTACAACTACATTAACCCAATGTACAACACCACCAACCCAGTTCAATTTAGATCAATTGCCAACCACTAACAGTAACATTGATGGTTACTTCAGCGGATACTATCAGAATTATGGTGATCATCATAATGTCAATGGTACGACTACTACTGCATCAAGTACAAGTGGAGAAGCTGGAGAAGGGCTGGTTACGCGAATCGGGTTAAGCAGCAATGTGACCACCACTGGCAGTCCTTATAATGGGACTAATATTGGCAATTGGATTGCGCCGAGTCATCATCATTCATTCCAATCTGCAAAGCCAAATCTATCAGTTTTTCAGACTGCCATTTTTGGGATGGAATGAGCTCATCAAGAATTGAAGACAAGAAGAGAGGGAATCCATCATTCAAATTTTTTCGCTTTGGTGAAAAATACTCTTGGTGGATTGGTCAAAGGGGCGGGCTCTCTGATCTGATGGAGAAAACTTTCGCTTTTTTGCATGGAATGACATAAATGGGGACTGACAAATCATTTTGGTTTCACAACAAAGGAGAATTCGGGCAGTGGACTAACTGGAAAAAACTTTTGTTTTAAGGTCTCTCTTTTCTTCTTTTCCCTTTTCTTTTTGTTCTTTATCTACTTTTTTTTTTTTTTTTTTGGCCCTTCCCTTCCCGCTTTAGGTTCTGACATATGATTAATCGATCGGGGTAGAATTTGGAAAAAAGAAAAAGGAAAAACCCTTCTGTAAATTAATCTTCTGTCCGGTAGCTACTAGCTTTAGCTAATTCTAGACTTCTAGTTTTAAATTTTTGTACTATATAAGTTATGTTGTAATATTCCGCAACAATATGATGTTGTACGAAAAAAATATAGAGCAAGAGACTTCTGATTTGCTCCAATTGATGCATGGGTTCTTTGACTAGATGTCACGTCAGTCCTCATTGGTTATCAATTTGAAGTGATATGGAATATTAGAATTAAGAGGTCCCTCATGTCCAATTGATCTAGATAGACATAAATCATTTTGTCTTACCTTTTTGGTAGGTGATTAGTTTAGCAATGTAGCTTCATTAAAACTATATTCGTTCTGTTTTAAAATAAATTTTGTAATGTTGTGTGAAGTTATTATAGGGTTCTTTTTCGATATCTTGAACTGCTTGGTATATATTACGTTTGTCAAAATTATTTCCCCAGGGAAGTTGTGAATAATTATTGACTAGTAATTTCTGAGATACAATGGATGTGGTGTTATGGCAGAGGAAAACAGCAGAGAGAAGAGGACAAAAGTTTGAGTTACATGTAGCATGGCAATTAGGTCGCCTTCCATATCAGAGAAATGGAAGGAGAATTGAATGGAAAAAAATGAGGCAAAAGTGTCAGGGCCGAATATTAACTCTGTGTGCTGCAAAACAAACGGGTAGAAAACAAACACAACCGTAAAAGCAATTATCCCCAGTACACAATTTGGCCTTAATACAGGCCAAACACAGCCGCAGGTGTGGTTCATCGGTCCCCTGACCCCGGCCATCCAGGGTCATTGTCATGAAAGTAATGTCTCAATTTTTCCAATGTATCATTTTCGTCAATTTCGTATTCATAAACTAATTGCTAAAGAGTAAAGTCGTCGATATTCTTATGTATATTAATTTATTTCACTATATAGAAGATGGATACATTATATTTATGGATTTAACTGTTTCAAAAATATTATTTTTTCTATCCCAAAAAATAGTTTATATCGAATTTTTTAAATTTATATTAAAATTAATATAAATATCAAAAATTAATGTGGATTATTTGTTTTTAGCACAGAGGGAGTACTTAAAAATGTGTCATTGAAGTGCTTTAGGAAAAGCGGGCTAAAAAGGAAAAGGAAGAGAAAAAGAACAAGAGAAACTTCCCTTTAGCTAAACCAGGAGAGACAAAAACTAATCCAAATTTATTAATAAGTAGTACTAGATGAAAGGGGGACAAAAAGAAAGGGAAATTGGGTGTTAGTATTGATCATCTTTTTGGCTGTTTAACAATATTGAAGGTTCAATTGGAATCCTGTCTTTTCTTTGTCTATTTCAGATCAAATTCTCCCTCCAATTCTGGGGTACCCTTTTTTCATACATTCCTTTCGGCGCTAACAATGTGGTCGAATTCAAACCTCCCCACCACTACTATGCATGCTTTCTTCCTTTGACCATTATTTTGGTTTCTTACAATATTGCATGTTTTTCCTTAATCCTCCAAAGTCATCCTAGAACACAAAACGCTTTAAATGACGTATAATGTTCCTTTTTTGCATATCATTTTGCACTATTCTTTAGCCACATTTGACGTACGTACTATAACGTACGATGTTCACTAGCTCATTACCTTATTGTATTTGATGCACTAAGTTCGACAATGTGTCCCATGTTTTTCAGTTTACAAGAATTACGACATAAAATAAATATATTATCGTCGACTAATTTCTATTTAAGTCGAGAAATTAATAAGTAGTATATTAATCACTGTTATGTATCCGTCTCAGGAACTGAATCCTAAGGCTTAGAGATAATATCCGATATGTCGACTCTAATTTGGTTTCAAACTTTGAGATAGACCGGAGGAAAGAAAGAAAAGGAAAAACAACATAATTAATTAAGATGATCATGCATGCACTTGGCAAAATAGTGGACATGCAAATCCCACTGGGGGTAATTGAACATTTTAATAATGTACTAATTCTCTTTTTGTCTTCTATAACAGTGTACACATATGCTGCTAGTCACGTATAACCTAGTCTACTTAATCAGCTACCCCTGATCAAATGACAAAAAACATATAAATAAATGAATTAAAGAATTAAAGATGGTTCCTTTGTCTACAGGAAGACTACCAGAAACTTTGTTTACTAATTAAATTGCTTTGTTGGTTGATTAACTATGCAAATTTGACCAAGAAAATCTCTTTCAAAGCAAGAAGTTATGCCGCAGCACATGCCCAAATCGGCCAAAATCCTAAAAAGGGTTAGGTTTGAAAATGTGAAATAAGCATCTTATTAATCATATATAATAGTTAAGTGAAAACCCCCTTCTTCTAAAGACTATCTTTTTCCAGTCTCTTTAACCCCAATCATACATGCAAAAGTTACGTTTTATTAATCTCATTTTGATTACTTTGGAGTTCAGTAGCCTCAATCTATGCTTTTCCCTCCTTTCTCGATCTGTATATAATATATATTCTTGTCGGCCTGTTGTTGTGTGTACCTTAGAGACATAAATAGTACACTATCCAATTTGTTGATGATGAGGTGGTTTGACTGAAGATTGAAGAATGTAGTCACTATCTTAAATTAATTATAAGCTATGGTTCTGTTCGAATTGTTTAATAATCATCCAAGAGTTTAGACTTTATTAGAGTTTGTACTCAAAACTGCGAACAAAAAGGGGTGATGAATCATCAAAACTCAATTCCGTGGGAATTAATTTATTAGCTACTTTGGGCAATTATTATTTGTAATTTACTGGTAGAAGGAGGGTTGCACGTGATCTAAGCTGTGAGTCATAAGCTAAACTACTACTCATGTTTATCCCCTTCCAAACTTAGAATTAACAATTTCCTTTCAAAAAAGAACAACAATAGCCTAATTGCAAAAGATGTCTAAGAATGATGGTGCTTTATCTGACTTGAGTGGCCACAAAGTTAGCAAAGCACGTTATATAAGCTACAGCATCATCACAAAAAGAACTAAGGGTATAAAACGGAATTATAATTAGTGTAAAAGGCAACTACTGTTAGGAAAATCCAATATTTCTTAATTGTTATTACAAAGGAATAAGGTGTAAGAGAAACAACTATTCACTATTTTTAGTGTAGCAAATGAATCAATATAACATTAGATATTATGACTGCTATTATTGAGGCAAGAGCAACGGATTATTTATACATAACATACTCGGATTAATCCAAATTCGAGCCAGCCGATTTTCTTATACTTTTAGATGGTATGAAATGCAGTAATGGCTTTCATTTGGATTATTTTGCATTTTAAAGCCTGGATCGGCCTTCCCAATACTGCTTGGCGAGCCCTCATGAAGATTAATGGCAGACTTGGCCATTGCAATGAGCATGTCCTGGGCTTCTTTCACTTGTATTGTAAACAACGACCGTTAAATGCAGCATGAAATTTTGTCTAATATCGAATACAAGGTTTATAGTGGATTCATGGGTTCAAGTTACTATCAAGGGTATTTGGTGATAGTAGATATTTTGTAATAATGATAGGAAAATATTGGATGAATATTGTAATTTTAGGCTTTCTAGCCTCCTCCGTATGTTAAAAAAACAAAAAAAAAATAATAATAAAAAATGCAGTGATTGCATTCATTTCGCATTGGAACTTTAGTTATCATAATCTGAACTTAAAGATAGCAAATTACTCTATCCGTCCCAAAATGATATCTTGTTTATAATACTTTCTCAATTTCTCTGTCTCAAAATTATTATCTAATTTGAGATTTCGCATTTAGTATTCATTCTGTCTCGAAATTATTATTCAGTTTAGATTTTATTTTTAGTTCAAATTGTTCTAAAAGTGGAATCCCAAACTGGACAATAAGGAACAAAGGGTATACAATTTAAATTAAAAATGAAAATTCAGATTGGACAATAATTTGAGGACGGAGAGAGTATATACTATTTCATAACCTATAAGATTGGCATATAATGTTTCACTAGCCGTATATCACAATGTGTTCTCAATTCTTTAGGTTATTCAATGTGCATGTCTGTTCTCAATTCTAAGTGTACGCCAATTTGCATTTCTGCGTACGTACTTTCTAGGAGAACACCAGAAAAAACATTTGTTAGCTTAAGTATCGAGATTAAAAATCCGGCAAACAAGTTGACAGGACTAAATTCAATGAACAAAAATCCTGACGATCAAGTCAACTAAATGCAATTTTTTTTTCTTTTTTTACTTTTGTTCCCTGACTTAGACAAATTGAGACAAAGAACCCAACGTCCAAGTCCAAAAACCTGAATTTTAAGTTTATTTGTGTTCATCGACGCTGTCATCAAGCTATTGAAGCCGAAGCTTAAGAAGGCGAAACTCAAGATTTTGTTTATATTTGACTCATCTAGGACTAATGTCAAAAACTAGCAACAAAATGGGCAGAAATGGTCTCTGTCAAACCTCATCTTAAAAGTTAAAACCATTAACCTCATCTTACTCATCTTGCTGTGTCATATGGTCGGTCTCTTGTCATGTGATAAACCACTAGTACTTCTTCGTCTCATCTCGAGTGGCTGCTTTCCTGCTTATCGAAAGCCAGAAATGACATACCATGCACACATTAGGCAATAAGAGGAGTAGAGAAGAAAAGTAGAACAGCATTATGATTTGCACAGCACAAACTTACATATTGTTACAACTTACAAGAAAAGGGCACACAGATTATACAGCTGAGATGAAAAATCCTAACCGCAAAACCTGAGCTAAAAACTAACTCTACCACTCCCCACTCATACTATTGAAAGAAGTTTGGAAGGGCTGAGTCTGCAAGGCGAACTGGGTAGTCCTAAGCACTTGCAACTGTTGACAAATACACCATACAAGACAACTTAGGCCTTCCAGTTGATTCAGAAAATCATTAAGGGAAACATTGCTTCACATCTGCTGATCATCTGTTTGCAAGAGTTTCCTCTCCACGCAGGGTGTCTCAAAATATGTGTACAATGTCATACGCAAATCTATTTGTGTTGTTAAGGTAAATAAAATTTTTACTATGATAGGCTGCAGAGGAAAGCTTGAAACTTCAAAATTTAAACCTCATCGGTAATAAAATTTTGCCAGATCAGAGCTGGGTGCGCAAAAATGTGTTTGGTGTTCTAATCTGCATAAATTGCCGAGAAATTGACATGTGTATCCATCCCCATTCAAATCATTAACATGTTTATGTGCTAGAAGTGATGTCTATATGCTAGTAAGTTGAATATTAAGCAAGAAAGAAAGGTAAGTGCTAAACAAGGAAAATAAAGTTTGTTACACTGCAAAAGGCGATGAATAAGGATACGTCCAGAAGAGCACAAATGACTGCATGAAAGAAAACAATGTCCAAAGTAAGTTTTGACTGCATATGAATCGTTTAATAAGCCAGAGCCATGAAGAAAATGATAAAGAAATTACCATGAGGCCTCCAAGGAAGCCATCAAGTATTATCCCGTTCCAGCTATCGAAGTATGTTTGAGCTGAAAACCCTGCCTTGGCAGCTAATCCAACTGAAGTTATACCCATGACAAGGAAATAAAAGATGAATCCCATCAAGCTGGTTAAACCCAGAATTCCAGCAATGACTCCACCAATTATAGACATAAATGTCCGGCTAAAGACAGGACAAAGCCCCACCATTAGCAAAACAGAAATGGTCAAATAAAAAACATTACGGCATCAGTACAAACTAGATGGGGTGTCTGATAAGGTTGCACCAAATTCAGGCAACTCCCATTCCCCTCCTTTGAGACCAAAGAAGAAGACAAATCAATTTGAAATCAGTTTCATTAGGTTTAAACCAAGTGACATGAAACTAAAAGAGATGAGGAAGGAAGAACATTGATTGCAATTAGCTTCCATTCATTCAGACTGATTCACAGCTAGATATCTCTCAAACCCAAATCATTTCAAATTCACTGGTGTTCATGCTCTTTTCCAACCATATCAATCAAATTGTATATGTTGTACGATGTAGCCAGTGATTCGCTTAGGATTCAGTGTGTCGTTTAAGAAGAAAATTAGATTGTACTGAAATAATACAATTCAGGAAGAAACGAGGACAATATAGAGGAACAAGTGCAGGATCTTCGCATAGATGCTCTCACTCACATCTTCAGAGAAACTAAAAAATATTAAAAGATACTTATCAACTTGTCATCTTGTTCTCTTAAGATAGTTCCCTTAGCAACGCCAACAAAACCAGAATACTTATCATTGTTATCAATCTTAAACTCAAAAGGCATAAAGCAGCTAAAATTAACCTATGTACGATTCAGTTTTCCGGATCCTCAGTGCATGTCCAAACATTCCCGGTAACAAACAGTAGTTAGTGTATCCAGTAACATTCAGAACCTAGATATAAATAGAGCGGAAGAGATCATGGAGTAGCAGAAACAAACCTGTAGTGAATAACTCTCATGTTGCTTTGCAAGTGCTCCTGATTGAGAATTGGCAAATCATCCATATCATCACTCCCCTTAATTTTTACAGAACCATCACGGCCAGCCATTACTTTGGCTGCTGGTCAGTGTAAATATCAGTCAGAATCAAAACAAATTCGAAAATTTTTACAAGCTAGGACAACATTTCATGAATAATTCCACTAAGGCATTAATTGCTCAAAATAAACATACAGTCTCATGCTTTCTATCACTTTGTAGACTTATAATCTAGTCTACAAATTTTACCCAATCTCAGTCTCTCACACACTAAACCTGAGAAGCAGAAATCTGCCATTCTGATTCCTGAAGGACTATATATTATTACATAATCAAAATTTCATGACTACTATCCATATTATTGTCTTATATCAAATGGATCAACTCAAAAAAGGACTTCCAAATGTGGAAACGATCGATTGTGAGGGAGCGAATCCTAGAGATTTCCGTAATGAGCAAATAAGAGGACAAAAGGCAAATAGCCAACTTAAGAAATCAACGAGAAAATAAAAACCCAGAATTTACCTTAGAAATATCAACTCTTGGTGGAGGTCGGTGGCGGTGAGAGGAGGAGCTCGGCGGTCTTCAGTGTTTACTGGTGGTGTTGAATTGGTGATGGCGGACTGGCGGTGGTGTTTACAGTTTCGATTATTCGACCCATTTGATTTCATTGCAGTTGGGTTTTTTATTTTTCGAAATGCCCATATTGTGGCTCTATTAGGGAAATGGGCTTTTTGGGAACCCAACTTCTTGGCACGCAAATTTAATATTTATTGCTTCTTCTAAATTATCCCCTGCAATCTATCAACGCTACAAAATTACCGACAAAATTAAGCTGCATTACTGATTAAATCATTGTCTGACTTCTATATCGCCACATGCATTGATAGAGAAATGGTACTTGGGGAAAGAGCTTTCTTGATAGAGCGTCTAATGTTAATCGTCCAACTTAGAAATGATGAGTGTCGTCTTGAATCATTATTTAGTTTTGTAAGATTTAACCAATAAATATCTTGACGATCAATCAATGGACAAATATAATTCAGGTGTCAAATCTTGTGAGTGTTATTGAGATGATAAAGGTTGCACTCAGAAAGTGTAATAAAAGATCCCTTCTCTCAATTACTAACTTTCTAAAATACATAAATTACATAGTATCTTCACGGAGAAGCATTTTTGGAAATCACGTCTAATTTTACTCTTAAAAAGCGCTTGAAAGTAAGAAGAAAAAAAAGAGGATCGATGACACCCATATACATATCCATTTCCTCGAGCACATTTGAAAAAGAAGCTAAAATTAGTCCAATTGCTTACATGATCATTGGTAAGGGGATCTTCTTTATGGGGACGATGATGATCAAAAGGAAATTAAAACGGCCGCATATATAACACACCGTCCATGACGCTAATAAGCAATAAACCATACATCTTTCCCACTTTGAGAAGTGTCACAACAACTTGCGACCCTTCAAATTAATCTATTTGATTCCTATAAATTTTTGGTAGCAAAATGTGTTTTATCTATCATGGAGTTCATCATCAACTCGTGAAACTTCATAATTGGTTGATGAAGTTCAAACATGTAATATTGTTTTAATATTCAAACAACAGAATTGTTTGGTTTCTGTAATAATCACTGGCAGCATTAAACTTAGAATATAATATATATAGTTGGCGTGTCTTATAAACGTATATAATTGATATATTAGTATTATCTACTTAATAAAAGGATAGAAAGATATAAAAAAAATTTAGGCATGTTTGGCCATGCAAGATGAGAAAGAGAAAATAAAAAGGCATGCTTGGTGTGCACAATTATGGGTGATTATTGAATATGGGGTTCGAAATATTGAATTACAAGCATCCTAGAGAAGAAAAAGAACGGAGAAAAGTTGTTGTTAGCTATAAGGTGGAAAGAATGGTAGTTGAATTGAAATGAAAGGGTTGACGAAAACCAGGAGGAAGAAAAAGAAGAAGACGGAAATAAACGACTCCCCCGACTCTATCCAAAAAGGACGGTCCAATCCCAATTTTTGCATGATTGATGACCCCAGTTCCCACGAATCCTACGTAATTATATTATTCTTCACCAACATATTCGTACAATTTTACCCCATTTTAATATCAACTTTTTCTTCAGGAAAAAAACAAACAAAAATGTCTGCTTCTATATTTATCAGCATCATCCCCATCCCCATCAGCCATCACCCCTTCCCATATATATATATATATATATATATATATATATATATATATTCTATGTTACTTACTCGAAGTCATTGCTACGATTAATCCGAATTTGAGTCGGATAAATCTTTTTGAAAGACAAAGTTCTCCCAACAAACTATTTTAATCATTACCGCATGCTCATACCTGAGTTCGAAATCATAATTACGCTGAATTAATACCTTTATCACTTAGACCAAGTGATGTTGTTCCCTCTTCCAATATTTTAATTACTCTCCATAATATTTAACGCCTTTGAGCTAATTTTTCTTTACAACATTGTTAATTTTGGCAATCCTTTTTACTTAGATACAAAATCATTGATCCATTGCAACCCACTTTTGTTCTATTTAATCGTTGTAGAAGTGGCATAACAAAATTTAATCCATGCACACGATAAAATTCTGATCATCTAAGTAGGTGTGGAAGTGGATGATCAAGGTCTAAAACTCAAGATCAAGTAATATTACCTACGGATCCCACATCCAATCACATTTTTTTTGTAATAAAAAATAAAAAAATAGAATTCAAGCTTGAAACTCATCATCTCTCGTGTTTTTGTTTTTTGGCTTGTTAGGCTTTGATGGGTAGCTTTTCCTCTTTAAGGTACGCAACTTGCGCATATTGACAGCTCAGATACATCATATTCACGTCAATGCACAGAGTATACTATATATACTCATATAACTTTTGATGGTGAATAAGATCAACCATTTTCATTTTGTCGATTACTTTTTCTTTTTCCTTAACAAAAAAAAATTAAAAAAAGAAGAAGAGAAGAAATCAGATAATAGATATACTGTCGTTCTGATATTTGTAACATTTTCGTCAAATATCTGTATATTTTTGGGCACTGGTCTAGATATTTTAGACATGCATTTATAGATAGGGCATGCATGGTTTCACAGAATCCACTCAAAATCTTTCTATTTTTTTTTAAAAAGAAAAAATTGGAAGGAAGAAAATCCTTTCAAATTATAATATGGTGGGGTTTTCATAAAAATATTAGTGGAATACCAATGACGATTGAGAATTTTGCAGCCGAAAAGAATAAGTTCCACAAGAAATGCAAACTATTCTTGTTATGTGGATGTGGAAATTGGAATCGAAATGGTACTCCATGGGTTTGAGATTTTCAATTCCCTATCGAATCAACCGAAAGATACGAACTATCTGTAGATGGAGAAATCATACAAGAATATAACAATAACAAGATAAAGCATAGATAAGTTTTTTTAAAAAAAATATTCAAAAATAATATTGGGGAAAACACCGCAGTGGTTGGATATATTTTAAGCGTGTAATTACTGTCCTTAAGACAATATTTACTCCTACTATTTTGCAAAATCGGGTTTGATTGGCAATTTATCTCTAGGATATGAAGAAGCACAAGAACAATCAACTTTGTAATTATTCCTTGTTCTTTAAGAATTTAGGAATGCAAAAAAGAACTTACTAAAAACCTGCAATAGTTCATCTATTTATAGACAAACACTAATAATTGAAAGAATACGAATCAAGGCTTATAGCCCTTGAGTTCCAAGTCACCAACGTAATTTTTCATGAATTCTTGTCATGTTTCGTACTCTTTTAATTTCTTGACATTCTTTAGTTGGTTCCAGGAAGATTGAACCAAATCTGGGTTGCAACTTTTCAGTTTTTGGTTTTTATTTCATAAACTAAAATTCAACAATCCCCCACTTAGTTTGTGATATAAAATAGTCACAAATAGTGAGAATCATGCATAAGGAGTGGTAACTTTCGTCTTGAACCACATCATAGTGAAAATTTGTTGTTGGTTCTTTGCTTGAACCAACAATTAAACCATATCAGACTTGATTTTGCACACACGAACACTCACAATATTCCTTATAATTCACATTAGTGTTTAGCACTATTACCGGTCATATGCTCATCCTAGTTTCTTAACCATGTACGAGAGATAACCCTAAACTCTTACTAGAAGCGGTACCACTTCTACGATCAAATAGGTGAAAGTTATTCAAATTCATTACTTAACCATAATTGAATACTCATGAATAATTTCATAAAGAGATTGCTCTCAACCTGCTCACTTAAGAGTAACATAATGCACCAATCTTGGAATGGTATACATATTGATTTGGTACTCACAATTACAAAACAACTTATTTTCACCCTTTGAACCTTTCAATCTAGTGGTCTACTAGAAGAAGGTTGGGTTTCCATTGTTTGTAATTTTAGATAGAAGGTTTTAATCCCATTCTTCATGTTGTCAAAAAACACCAATTCTCTCGTAAGAGATCTTGGTACATGGATTCATAATAAAATTGCGTTTTCACAAACACAACACCGACAACATCAACACTTGTTTCTCATTAAGAAATATATATCTCGAATTAATATGTCTATATTCACCCATTGTCAAATTTCACATAATGTTCAAGATATATTAATCTAACTATCACAACACAAGATTACAGGCGACATAGGCCAGGGCCCTTTGGCCACTTCACCTCCATATGTACTAAGGATAGTTTAACAAATTCAGCTTTCCTTTCTTTTATATACAGGAAAGAGTGATTACTGTTTGTTTCACTTATCAAGAAACATCTCTCACTATCAAGTATGAATTTCTAACCGCTAATGGTTATAATCACTAATGTGGAATACCAACTAGCATTCAAATAAGCGTTAAGAACAACATAAATCTAATCAGTTATAACAAAATCATAAACCTTAGTCTTTCAAAGACACATTTCGATCTTAGCATTAGATTTGCAATGATATTATTTAGGCACTTAGTGTAATCAGTGAGTCACATACCACACAGAATATGTTAACACAACTCTAATCCACATATAAGACATCTAATATCACTAGCAGATTCTATTCTAATTTAGTAATTGAATCGTCACATTTAACACTAATGTTAAATATAAAAGTACGAGAGTACAAACTTTCTTCATATTCATATGTTACACTTTGTTAATAACTTTCCAACATCATATGAATAAGAAAGTACAGAACTCCCACTATTTCCTTCAATATAACGACTAAGAAATTACCTCTGTCACCAAGCTCATTTAATTTGAACTTAGAAAAATGATTTTTTCTTAATTCTACTGCACGTTTTTAAAATCAGTATGTGCATTGAGTATAAATATTTATACAAAAGCAAAAATATATTACATACTCTTCACAAACTTTTGACATATGCAATTTACAACATATATACATCATGTGAGAGTAACTTAGATCAATCACCATGCAATTGTATAAAATCAAGTCATGGCTTCACTAGTACACACATCTTTTATTAATTCGCAACAAACATTATGAAGTTCCATATACACATTTTCATATACATCACCACTAGGATAATACTTTCCATATTTAACAGGTGAACATGAAAAAACTTAAATGGAAACTTCTAACTAGTAGGATAAAATATGTAAGTAAAAAC